CTAAGTACAAAACAACAGTCCTGTATATTTAAAAGAATTTAAAAGGCTAAAGTATCTTAGATCAAGTTGTAAAAAACCCCCCAAAACTCAAGTTATAAATAAAAACAAGCTTACATATTAAATTTCAAATGTTTTTTTGTGCTAGGATCCTAAAGGTAATTGACATTTTTCAGGTCATACCCCCTAGTTACTTAATTTGTATACAGAAGAGATAGTATTGCATTTGTAAATGAATAATTGAAACGTCACTAAGATAACTGTGTGGCTTTGTACATTACTAAGTCAGTGGTATGGCGTAGAGTGTGAAAGCTCCAAAAATAATTGACTTAATATTAAATAAAGTTTGGGACTAGATACATAATAAAAAAATAAATGCTTTTAAATTTCATATTAAAAATGTTTCATCTTTTTAAAATGCCTGAGGATTTTTGTTGTTCTGGTGATGTGTATTTGAAATGACATCATTTTCTGACAAGTTTGAAACAGCTTTTTTAAATGAAAAATTATGTCATAAATAAGTTATTATTTGACAAAGAGGTGCTAATTTGATATTTAAGATGATATTTAAGAGATGGTAAGTTTCTGTGTTCTAATACTTCTGATTCTAGTGATGATAACAACAAAATAGAATTAAAGTGATGTTAAGGTAATACTTCTCTAGTGACTATGAGTTTCTATGCCACTTCCATAGCCAGCAATTCAATTAGTCTTGGTAACTTTGTAGAAGGACATTTGTTCTTTTAGTATTTCAAAAACTGCCTTATATTGTAATGAATTTCAAACATAAATTCAGAATTTTATTGGTGTTGTTCTTAAGAACAAAAAATAATAAAGTTTACAGAAGTAGGACATTTGAATTTAAAGGATAACTATGAGAAAATAGTTATAGCTGGTGTTTATATAATAGTTTCCTACTGGTGTCTGATAGTAGAAGAAACCACTGGGAACCTCCAAGAGTTTTTGAAATGATTTTCATGGTACAATTAATTCTCAGACAACTCAGAATTTATTGCAATATGTTTTGAATCAAAATAATTCTGGTGGTGCATGTGGCATAGATGTATTTTTTATGTAAAAAAGAATTTTAATTTTTTTTCTGTCTGTAAGGTATACTTGCTTGACACTTAACCTGTGAGAAACTAACTGAAGGATTAATATGATGCATAAAACCTGTATTCAAAGATGGGAATCTGTGCACATTTCATGTGGAAAATTGAAGTACATTTTTTTCCCCCTGGCTTTATAATGGAAATATTTTACAGGATTTCAGCTTGATAATTTACCTAATCTGTGAACAAGTATTCTAAGACTCCTTATATGAGTGCAAATTGATACAGAAATATAATTTTCAAGTCCTATGTTCACACTGAATTACATAAATAATTAATTAGTTTTTCTGTGGCTTAAGTTTCATTCTTTTTGTAAGGTATCAGCCAATGTTTCTTTTTTCATCCAGAAAAATGTCATCAGATACTGTGTTTCCATAGAGAACTATAAGGCTTTCAGACAGTGCCTTTTTTAACTACTTAGTATCCAGGAAGTACTGGAGGCAAAAAAACTCCCAAAGTATCCAGCTTTCAGTTCCTTTTGGGTTGTGGTTAACTTTCTTAAGCACGTATTTTGATGGACCAAGGCACATGATTGCTGAGCAACATAAGCATAAGTAAAAATGTTAAAAATTTAAAAATTGCAATTTAAACTACTGCTTGAAAAGTTCAAGTGTGACATATGTGACAATTTTTCCCTGAAGATGCTGTACAGTTAATATATCCTGTTAAAAGGAGACTGTCACTGCCCTTTGTTGAGAGTCATTCCATGACAGGGAGTTCAGTTAAATCTTCTGCTCGAAGCAGTGTGGACATGGAATTCAGGTGAAGTTGCATAGGACAGCCTGCTCCAATGACAAAGGAATCATTCTCATAGTTCATTCAAAGGTCCCATGATCTTTATCTGCCTTCTGATCTGTCTTCTTTTTTGCCTTCTTTTCGCTTTCTGACTTGTACCATGTACCCCAAATTGGTGTCACACCTTCTCACACTGATTTCCTGCCTGAACATCATTAACCTGTGCCACCTTCTACTTCTCTTTCACTTCTGCTGGTCCCTGTGTTCTGGTGAATTACAGTTCCCTCTTGCTGCCTTTTCTGCCACTGTCTCTGTGTTTGATAGATGTTATAGCTGCAACTTATTGAAAATGAAGGTTTTCTGTTCTGGGCCCAGTCTCATCTGGGTCAGGATCAATAATTCAGAGAAAACTGGCTGTCGTTTCAATAGCCTCAGATATTCTCAGTTATCCATATGCAGCCTTGGAAGGGGTGGGAGCATGCCTACTGCCAGCAGAACTTGGGGAGATTTCATCTGTTAAGCTTTGAGGTAAAAAATTAATATATATGAACTGTAGCTTTTGTCAAATCTCAGGGTATTCCTGCGTGTGGGAAGATTCAATGAAAAATGGTAAATAGACACCTGACAAACAATAAAGGAATGCCTGACACATGCCAAAGTTAATGATAAATAAAATATTAATTTTAAAAAATTAGCTGACTTTCCCCTCTGTTCCAGAATAGAAACCCACTTTTCTCACCTTGTTACCCCTCTTGATGCAGCAGGATGTCTCAGTTGAAGTTGTTGGCAAGTTCCTTTTCATGGGAAAATTTTCAGGGCCAGTTTAGGCAAAATGTTACTTGATCTCTTCTGGTCAGATGTAAGAAGTGAAGCAAAAACTGTTGCCAGTTTTAGATAGGTCTGTATGTTCCAGCTCAAAACAGAAGTGCAAATCTGTCCAATTTATTTTTCATGGTGGAAGGCACATTTATTTGGATCTTTCTTTGTTTGTCAGATTTAAAAGACACCTGTATAATAATTTAAGAACAGCACCACAGTCACAAATGTTCACTGTCATCCTGCAAAACGAACTGGGGAGGTTGTGGAACTGCATGTGTTTCTCAGTCTACTTTTACATAGATGTACGAGCCCAGATTTACAAAGGGCATATGTCGAATCAGAGAATGATTTCATTTGGAAGGCTCCTGGGAAAGTAATTTACAGTTCAGTTCCCTGCTCAAAGAAGGGATAACATTGAAGTTGGATTCTATAACTGATCTAGGCAATCTGTTCCAGTGATAAACTCCTCTCATTCTGGATTTTTCCCACCTCATCTCCAATTGGAACTCTTCTTGTAGTTATTTCGGACTCCTGTGTCTTGTCCTTTTGTTCTCTGCATTCTCTGAATGCTGAGTCTGTTGCCAACTGTTCTTTAATTCCACTCCTTTTTAAATAGTGAAAGATGTTACCATGCAGCACTATAGCTCTAAAATGAAGTGCCAAGATCTTAGCAAACATAATTTATAAATCTGATAAAGCTTCATAAATCTTTACTAAATAGAAAAAAAAATCAACCCCCAAGAATGGGATTTATGGAGATGAGTGTAGTCTTGCAAAGTCAGGAGGAAGAAAGTGATATGTGAAATCCCAGTTTTCATCCAGATTAATGCAGTTGTGTTCAGCTCTTAAATATGTGTTGTCTATGTGTTGTGGCCATAAAATCCACTCTTAGATATTACTCTTCCTATTTAGAATGCAGGTTTGAGACATAGTGTTTCTCAATTATCAGTACACTAGTAATAAACCAGTTAACAGATTAATTAATCTGTTACATATCACTAGAAATCACAATTCTGTAATGCTTTACATGGTTGTTATTTCATGTAGTTACTGAGTTCTACCACATTTTTGCCTATAAATTGCACACAAATATTATTTATTGAATTGAAGTTTTATAACCCTTCACTTTAACCTCCTACCCTACTTCATAACAAATTTGCAATCCTGTCACTATTTTAACTTTTTGCTACAAGTTGTTTAGATACAGAGCTTGTAGAGAGGCCACTGGGTTTCCTAAGGGCCTTCCCTCTGGGACCCTGGCAGCCTTTATTAATGAAGGATCTCAGCTTCATTATAGTCTGTGGATGCCTGCACTCCTTTCAAAAGATCTGCCCTCTCTTGGTCTTGAACTGCATTTATAAGTTTTACTTATTTCTCACATTTCTAACTTCTTGGGTTGCTGCTCTTCTATATCCCTTTCCCTGCCCACTTCCCTTACAAATAAACAAGCTGCCATTTAAATACTCTTTCCCATTGCTTCAATTTGCAGATTTGCAAGTCTGCAAATTGAAGCAGACATCTATTTGCAGATTTCATATTTCTAAAACCTGCTCCTTGACAATCTTAAATTGTGTAAATGATGTTGTTAGATGCTGGTGGATGTCAAAGATTCTACACATTTCAAAGATCCCCAATACTGCCTTGCAGTTATCTGCTTAATAGCAATTACATATTCTTTATTTTACATATTCTCTAAGGCATGTCAGTCTACTTTGGCCTTTTTTTCCCCTCACCTGGTTTTAAGTGTGCTTTATCTCTGTTTCACTTTCTATTAGATCTTTCTTGGTTCATATACAAATGGCCATACATGGTTTTTCTCGCTCTGTTTTTTGCTCATTAAGTGTCCTGCTTGCCAGAGAGCTGGGTGGGCCAGCTGGTCCCTGAGGGAAGAGGAGCCAGGTGCTGAACATGACGAGGTGGACAGGGCAAAGGCTCAACAGTGCTGTCTCAAAGCTGGCCCTGAGCAGAGGCAGCCAAACCTCCAGGAGATGGGGGGCTCTTAGCTCCTTTCCAGGGCTGTCTCTCAGGTGTTCCATCAGAAATCATTGGTTTTGGCAGCTTCTGATAATCTCCCCATTCTTCTGCAGGGACTGTCCAGTCCTCCATCAGAACCTCTTGCTCACAGCATCAGTTCTTCTCAGATTAGGACCAGATGCTTTTCTGTTTTTTGAAAAGGTGATTAAGCATTAACTCAGATTTAAACAGTGGGCTTTTAATTATATCTGGTATATATATTTGCATCTTTTGAGTTATTTATTAATGATCAATTCTGATAATATTACAATTTACAAGCCTTTACAAAGTTTTTTAAAATGTGTTTATTTCTGTTTATTTTAGTATCTCCGGAAGCAATTGGATTCCTGTCTGCAGTCGGGGTGTTCATTATTCTCATGCTGCTACTTTTCCTATATATTAATAAGAAGATGTGTATTGAAAATGTTAGTGGTTTCCCAGATCTCGATTCAGGATACACTACAAGAAAGAATTCACAAGATAAACTTTGTAAGTATCTGACATACAGTGTACTAAACTTAATTATAAGAATGCACATTTTTACCAGGATGTAGCAACACGACAACATTGGCTTTTCCCGCGACTGCAGTACTTGAAAGGAGCAAACCTTTGTATCCACAAGCCACGGAAATTCAACAGCTATGTAACCAAAGAGTTTGCATTTACTTATGGGGAGATGCTTCTCTTGCACTCAGAGAATACTCGAGCTTATTTTAAACATTCCATAATTTTGTATAATTAAATCTTTTTAGGTAAATTTTTGAATGGGATTATTGGATTTTCACTCAGCCTGTTAAAATCCTTCACCACACTTTTGGAAAAGGTCTTGTTTTTATTCACCTGGAAAATAATTTTAAAGATTAATTTTAGTGATATCTTATATCTGACTAACACCTTATTGAATATTTTTTAATACAATAAGGTCTTTAATGATCATGTGTAATGAAAGAAATTAGACCTTGAAAAAGATATTGAGGGTTGGTAAAACAACTCTTTCTACTTTTGTACTGTGAAAATTGAACAGGCTTTGTTAGCTGACTTGAGAGAGTCAGGCACCAAAAAACAGAAAGTGAAATCGAAGAGGCCTTCTTCCCCTCTACCTCTCTTAAAGATGGAGCTAAATTTTTATTTTCAATTTTCTAGGAAGCAAAAAAAAAAAAAAAAGAAATTTTCTGTCATATTAACTTTCTTTTTTGCTATAAAACAAGTCTTGATATTCCAAAGTATCTTACCTTATGTAAAAGACAACAAATATTTGGGGTGAAGAAGTCTCTATGATGTGTGTTGTGTTATGTTAAAAACTTGTTTTAGTGTGACACTGATGAAAATTTAAATGTCTCACAACTTCTTCTTCACAGGTTAGAATAGGAAAAAAAAGTCCATCTCACACAGTTGTCTTGTTTTTGAAAATAATGAATTTTATTATGGCTAGTTGATGCTGCAGTTGATGAAAGACTATGGTTTTGCCGGTTGATTGTGGCTTCAAGATACTTATTTAGCTGTTTTCTTATTATTTGCAATGATTATTGAATGAAAAGAGAAAAGCTGCAACTTCTCCTGGTAAATGTATTGATTTTTGAGATAGAAATAGCTCTGAAATTGAAGCTGGAGAAAGAGAGATGATCAGTTTGTGAAACAGAGGACCTGTCAGTATTAAGAGCTGTTGCTGAATAGGCTGGACAAATGGCGTTTTTTAGAAACCTTCAGCAAAATCTGAGCCTTCCCTCTGTGTCTTCCCTGGTGGACACGCTCAGTAGTGCCGTGGATGACCTGGCCAGCGTTGTTGGTGAGGTTGGCTACTCTGTAGCTGACTCAGTGACAGAGCAAGTAACCAGCATGATCCATGGCCTGCGGGCAGAAGATGAGAGCTCCAAAACGCAGAGTGATAAACCTGCGGAAGGCAGAGAGGAACACACACCCTCATTAACTCATTCTCAGGAAATTAATATGAAAACTAAAAGAGGTGCTGCAGAATACAAAGAGACTCATAATTCTAATTCGTTAGATTTTGTAAAGAAAGGAACAAGTCAAGTTGGAGTATCTGACCATGTCTTGAACAAAAATCAGTGTCATTTAAGAGGCACAGATCATAATAATCCTCTCTGTGATACAGAAGTACCTCAGGATTTGAAGACTGTAGGAGGACCTTTTAAAAGGGAAGTAGTAGGGGGAAATGAGTGTTTTGTAAATGATAAATTCTTGAAGGATAGTAACCTGAAAAGCAAAAAACTTACAGTGGAGCAATCTATTGAGGAGCAAGATAATTGTTTATATGCAGTATCAGATAATTCTAAGAATCGCAAGCATAAAAAAATCAAACCACAGTCATCTGGAGCTGATTTTGAAGATTCTGATAAAGTGCACAGTATGAATGTTCCCCAAGATTTAGAAACAAAGCTTGTTGAAGTACAGAAGGAGAAATTATCAGATTCCAGCTTGAAGAAGATGCACAATGACCATCCTAGTTGCCTTAATGAAATCAAAGAAAAGAAATCTGAAGTCTTCTATGACAGAAAAAAAAAACCCATCTCAAAGGATGAAGGAAATTTGTCAACTGCAATTGTGAATGAGGGTAAAAGGAAAAACTCAAAGAAATTAGAAAGAGAGCTGTGTAATAAGAAGACAGCAGGAAAAGGTGAGGAGTCTGTCAGCAAACTGCATTCTTCAGCCTTTCCTGAAACTTATGATAGTTCCTGCTTTTTTTCACCTAACTTAAACCTTTAATAATAGTGTTTCCTGTCAGTGAAAGTGCCAGGTTTGTTTCAGTGCTTCTTTTTCTAATTATGCTGATATTTCTTGGAAGTTAATTACTTTCCAAAGTATTACTTAAAGAAGCTGATTAATAAATGCCTTTTCTATGTTCTAACTTTACTCTTTCTCTGTACAGTTTTTCTTGCCTTCTCTGCCTTGTGTGGCTTCTGCTGAAAGTTAAAACTTGTTCTGTGAAAGTTATTTTTATTTTGTTTCTTTTAAAAGCATTGCATAAAATGTGCTATGACAATAAAATGAATAACTTCTTTTGCATTTACATTACAGTAGATCTTAAGAATATTTCTGGGATATGTGAGATAATGATTTCAAGACACAATGAGAAATGAGAAACTCAATAAGAAGTGGCAATTATGCAATTTTAAGTATAGAAAGAAGTGAATGAGGCTTGTCTTAAAGTTGTAGTCTTAAAAGAAAACCTGTGTGTTGTTTTTATGGATGCTTTGTGTGCCGTCTTCAATATCCAGTCTTGGTGTGGTAAGATAATTGCAATTGCAGTTTGTAAGGAAAAAGTAAAACCTTGCAATTTTACATACTTTTGCAGGCTGCATAGTAAAATTTTAGAAAGCAACACATGCTTTTCCAGAGGTGCTAATTCTGTAAAGAAATTAATGATTTTCTAATAGAAACCCATTTTTTTTTCCTTCAGTTGTGTGTGTTTTCCTTATCTGAAATTTCAGTTATCTGCTTTGTTGAGTTTTGGTTTGGTTTTGTTTGGTTGGTTTTTTTTAGTTTGAATTAGGAGTGTTTTCCATGTTTGTATGGTAAACTATGATCTTATCTATTTCTTTGCATGATAATAGATTTGTAAAGTATATTCTCTCAAAAATGGCATTTAGGGTCCATAATAAGCAAATTAATAGCTTTCAATAGGTTAAAAATTGCTCATGACCCACGTCAGCCAAATAAAGGAAAGGTTTTGCTATGAACACAAATTCTCTTAGCCAAGTTTCCAAATAAGGTATAAAAATTGAATGAAAAGATGCAAGCAAAGGCATTAAACTGTGAGATTTTTTTTTTTCTTAATGTACCGGAAGTTACGTTTTTTCTGAGAAACTGAAACTGATCTGCTTTGTAATTAAAAAAAAAAAAAAGGCTTTGCATGGATAGCTTATGTTTAAATTTTGAGGAGGTTTTTAAGTCCTCTGAAGAGGTCTTGCTTCATGACTTCTAATAATGGTATGCATTCTCATTCTTTTATGATAGGAACAGGGGAAAAAATAAAAAACTGCTATCACTGAGAACTTCTGGATGCTTACAAAAGTCAGTGTATTATTAGAGACATAACTTTCAACTCTTCTTACAAACATGTTGCTGCCATGTTTTATACTATTCCATTCTTTATGCAGGCTGATTAATGAACCTGATTTCATATTTGTGAATACATTTCTTGTAATGTTAAAGGAGGCACCTAATAATCATGTCTGGCACTGTACTTTAGGCCTGGTATGCTCTGCTTTAATTACAGTTGTGGGAATCTGTAGAAGTTTCAGTGTGGCAGGTTTCAACTCCTGGAGGGCTATATGAAATACCAAATTTTACTCTGTGTTACAGCAAAACACTTTGAGATTCCTTTTTCTGGGCAGCCTCTTGCAGTGAAGGCATTAGCCAGAACAGATCCTGCTTGGTGTGATATTTTCAGTAAATGATCACTGAAATTGAACTTGCTTTATAGCCATCCATAAATGGGAAGTACCATATCTGCTAGAGTTGAAAGATCCAATTTACTCCTTAGAAGCCTTTTAAGGCACCATGTTTCCTATAATTAGTAAAATAAGTTGTTGTACACATTATGTGTAGAACTGGTAGCCCCACATCCAGATAAGGTTTTCTGGCAATTTCCATTTCAAGATCTTATTACGAATTTTATAAATTGTGTGCCATGTTTGGAAGAATTTTGAGGAAATTAGGCATTCTTTCCATCTGAGATCCTATTGTTTTGGTTTCTTCCTAAATTACAGTTTAAAATCTTTAACTGTTTCCAAAAAATAGGTTATGCAAAAAACATGCTGGATATTTTTGCAAAAAAAAAAAAAAAAAAAAAAAAAAAAAAAAAAAAAAAAAAAAAAGAAGTAGATTTCACCTCAGCTTTACAAAGATGCTGTGACACCTTTGTGTATTGGAATATGTGCTTGAGATGTGGGAGAGCACTTCTCCCATGTCAGAGATGCCCATGGTCTTCTATGAAAAAACACCTAAGTTTGACAAAGCTGTAAATTTTTGGAAAGTTTGCTTTTTGAAAAGACATGGTAAACACTTCTTATACTTTGCTTGTTAAATTCACTGACCATCCCATTTGCACTCATATGCTTCATTGTAGGGATTGAAGAGCAGAGCAGGTCTTACCCTGCCTTTGATACTTGTGGTTACTGATGGGCTCTGAGAGTTTGAACAGAAGAATTGAGAATAAATACATTCTATGTGAGGACAGAAACTTCCCGAACAAATAGGACCCAATGCACATGGTAGATTGGGATTTAAACTAGGAAGGGTGACAGCTATGCAGAGAGCTGATAACTTCATATGAAGGTGCAGAGACTAAAGGTGAAAGACCAAGGTTACATGAGTAGTTGGTTAGGTGCAAGTAAAGACATTGGGATTGAACAGCCAAAGAGAATAGAGGAAATCACCGTAAGAAACCAAAAGTGGGAGCTTGGAGCAAGAACTTGGAGTATGGGGCTGGGAGACTGGAACTTGGCATAGAATTCTACTTGAATTTAACTTTCCAAAAGATTTCATACCTAAACTTGCAGCAGAGGTTTTTCTGTATGATTACCAGGGAGCAAAAGACCTCTATGGGAAGTGATTCCTAAAAGTAGGAAGGACGGACCTCTGTAGTACTAAGGGTCAAACACTTGACTGTAAAAGAGATCTAGGTGGCTGGCATACAATGAGTTAATTTAACTGGCTGACTTTTGAATAAGCTGAATCTCTCTTTTAGCAGGAATACCCAGCCAGAGGAGTGAGACTGACTGGGCATGAAGACAGACACTTAGGGAGTGGAAATGCAGATCTGGAGCTGAGTGCATAAAAACAGGGAGGGGAGAAGCGGTTGTGTGTGGCTGGATAGCATGTTAGACAACATTCCCCCAGATTCAGGAGCTGAGAAACAGCATTATGGGCATCTCAAAGCTCTGCTGGTAATGGAAATGCACTGGCAAATCATATACCATAGGTTTGCTCTCAGAGTAGAGGTAATGCTGACTTCTGAGCTTACATGAACTCTCATTGCCTATTCGAGTCTGAGATCTACAGAACCTCTGCAGGGCATGTTAAATTTGAACTTTGGAAGAAGGGAGGAAGAAATCTTCCCTTTACAGAAATAAAAACACAGCTAATTTTTGATTTGTGGGAGGAAGTTATGCTTGAGATGTATTTGGAAAACATTGGCCACAGGAGTAGGCACTACAGAACTAAGAATTAACTAGATAGATTTTTTTTTCCCATGTAATTTTTGCTGTTGCCAGATGTCTGCAGGAAAAATCTGCATTAATTTCAGTTATTGAACAAGGAGCTGTTTATTGTAAGTGAAATAAAATTGTGCATGCAAACATCTTTCACTAGCATTTTCCCATTTATTATTGTGAGTTTAAACACTACTGGCATAACTATCCTAAAGATGATTTTGTTTTAGGCTTCTTTTTATAAATCAGTTTCATTTCTATGCTATGCTACATGCTCACAGCAAATATCAGCTGGGAATGTAGGATCAGGAGCTGCTTGCTTGGTACGTAAGGTATCCAAATGTAATATTGCAGCAGTGTTGGATTTACTTTTACTTCAAGAATGTCTATGTGCCACCTTACATGAATTGATCTGTTTTCTGTTGAATAAGTGTTAGTGTGGTTTTCTGGGGCTTAATGATCTTTCAGGTCTTCTAGAAAGTGAGAACAGCTCTCAGCAATTACAACATCACAATGCTTGTAATTACAACAAGGTATTTTTAAAATATTACAGAAATTTTAATTGAAATGGCTTAAATATCTTCAATGATAACCTCTTATGGTTATTTTCTTGTATTCTATTTTGAGCTGTAGTCGATTTGCTTTATTTTATTCAAACAGACAATTCTTATATGAGTAAAGACCAGCATGGTTCATCATCTGAGAGTGAAGATGAAGCACTTGGTAAATATCATGAGGCCTTGTCTAGAACCCAGAGTTCCAGGCTGCCAGTGGTGGATGGCAGACAGCAAAAAAACTATATATGGGAAACCAGACAAAAATATAGTCCCCTGTCTGCAGAATATGATGGATACAGTAGTGAAGCCTCAATAGATGAAGGTAAGAGTGATTTAAAAGCCTTCCTTTTATTCCAAATTTCAGAAATGTGTTCTGGATAAGTAAGTCCAAGATGAGAGCAGCTTGACTAGCAAATAGTCAATGTCTGCAAGAAATATCCAGACACCTCTTATATTAGTGCATGCTCAAAAAAAAAAAAAAAGAAAAGCACACACTTGTATACATTCTTCCAGAGATGCTACAAATGATACAATATCTTGCTAAGTTTCATTTAATTTTATCATTATTCATTTCATTTTTGGGGCAATTTAAGCTGTTTTGATTTAGGAAGGAAACATGGCAACTCTTGCTGAATTTGTGGTATTATAAATACAAAGAAGACATGTTATTTCTGTATTGATAAGCTGTTCTAACAGCAAAGTAAATGGAATTGGTTATTGGCTACAGTGCATATGGTCATTGCAGAGTGCATTGCTGGAATGTTCTGTATCTTTTCTTCTCTTGAAATGACACAAAGAAATTATTAGAAAGATTAGATTAATGTATTTTTCCATGGTGCTAAAAGTTGGATTTAAACAATGGATGTTTTCTTACATGCTATATATTTCTTGATTTTAAGTTGGGATGACAGCTTGATGTAGAGGCTGAGAATTCTGCTGTCAATATTTTGTCAATATGCTTTGTGTATTTGAAAAGAGTTGTGTGAGAACTGTGTCCATAGCCAGTTTCAAGCACGAAAAGTGAACTTTTCTTGGAGTTAGGTAAAACTCATTCTGATACAGGTACTATATTATAGTAAGGTATTTTTTGTCTTCCTTTAGTATGGTAAAATGTAAAAGTTTCTTAGTGTTTGATGTCTTCTAATAAAAAGTGGATATATGTAATTAAAAGATATTTCACCTTAAAAGTTCTATACCATCCAGAAGGGCTTGAAAAAGTTTACAGTTTCTACATTTTTTTGTATATAATTAAATTATGTAAAAGTCTGTTTGCTGTTGAAATTTGAAGTTAGTATACGGTCATTCATGATTCCGAGCTAAGACCTGAAGGACATGAAGCCATATTTCAAGTAAGTTGCAGAGTAAAAGGATTCTCTGTTGATCATCATAAAATTCCTTTCTTTCCTTTGCTGTTAAATTGTAGGAAGGCAGGTAGTCTGAGTTCCAGCAAATAGTGAAGGAGATGCAGAGGTGAGATCAGGTGGTAAAAACCGATCCTTGAGCACTGTGATGGAGAAGGAATAGGGATAGTAAAAGTATGTTTGGTTTTGAAATCGACTGAGATCTCTCAACAGTGTTGGTGGAGGGAATATGAAAGGCTTTTTTATGGCTTTTCTCCCTGTTGGGAAAGAATGATGATGTATATTAACAGGAGATGGAAAAATGATTAGCAAATAATACCAGATATTAATTATACAAGAATTACATAGGAAGACTTCTTTCAGATATCTAGAATAAGGTATTTCTCTTTCTGCAGACTACTGAGGCTAGTTGTTGAAATAGCCATAGTTATATGACATTCCTCTTTTTATTTTGTAATTGCTCTGATTTTTTTATCCAATCTAGTTCTTCTTCTCAGTGAAAAGCCCTGAGTTCATCTGAGCTTTTTACTTTGGCCCTATAGGATTTAAGCTTCAAAGGCGTTGTGTTAGCCTTTATCCATTTTTTTTTTTTTAATTTTTATGATTGTGTTCCTTACAATCCTTTTAATTCATCAGAATTTGTATTTACTGATACAAAATGGTATCTGTAAATCCGTATCAGGATTACAATATAAGACAAAAGAACCTTTTTGGGAAGTCCAAATATTGCATCCAGAAAGTTACAGTTGTTACCTCCTCCTCACTTTTTGCTATTCTTCTATTGCTAAATATATCTGTCACCAGGTGCTATTCCTTTTCTGTGCTCTCACCATTCTGGAAGCAGGCTGGATATAAATGCCATTTTAAAATTTATTGTAATGAAAGAGCATTCAGTGTTTGGAAGCAAAAAACTTCTAAAAAAAAGCTATCAAAACATTCTAAGTTAAAAACTTAGATTTTTTTTTTTAACCACATACTTTTACTTGCACAAAAACTTTGTCAGTATTTTGCTTTTGCTGCTACTTATGAGAGCATTCCCTTCCCACATTTTACAAGGAATGGAGAATAAACAGTGTTATTTTTTTGACAGCCTGCAATCATTCTACACCGTATGTTTGGCAAAATGCTTGCAAATTAGAGTCAGGAGTTTGTCTCATTTTATTAATCCATTATTCTCAACAAAATTATGTTCAATCCTGTTAAAAAAAAGTTTTGGACATGGTAGCAGATTAACTACTTAACATTTTTCACTTCTCAGTGACCTGAAGGTGGCATGCTGGAATAATTAGTGTCAGTACTTTTTATGTTCTTCGTAAATTACTTCAAAGAATCTTTGCACAATGATAAAAATGTTTTAGAATAGAGGAAGAGACAGTGTATGCCTTATGTGATGATCATTGCAGAGGGAAAGCTGCCCAACATAGAACTTTGATGGAGAGAGGTGAAAACTTCATGAAGAAGGCCTGCAATCAGAAATAAAGGAGAGATTGTTACTACCAAGCTGTTCATTTGTGTTCAGAGAAGCAGTTCACTTAACAAAAGACATTAAAAATCTGATTTCAAGAGGGAAGCATCAGCATTCCAGATGTTTCAGTGTGATTTTTAAAAATGCAAAGCTTTACTGTTCCTTAAACTTGCAAAAAATCTGTAGAAGACTTGATGCCATAAGAATGCTGATTTTTTAAAAAATACTTGGCTTTTATGGGTATTGAATTATTTTTATAAGAAGTGTAAAGACAGATGATCAAACCATTTCTTGACTCTTCTGTGGAACAAGCAGTGTGTTCCTATGTACTTGGTTTAATATGAGAAAAAATTGTCAGTGCATTTGACTTTGTGTGCTTCTTTTTTCTCATATGTGCTTTTTCATTTCTACTTCTAAGTCTTTAACATTTTGGCTGTGCTTCCATCGTAAGGCACTGATCAGTCCATATGTTGAGCATATAACACTTGATAGTGTTAAAGTGAAGTGATGAGAGGACAGAATTAATTTTTGTCTCACCTCTGTTTTCCTCCTGCTCATTGCCAGTAAGGCAGCCCCTGATCATTAAGAATAAGAACAAGGGGGAGTGGTTTTAAGGAGGTCTGGAAGATCTGCTCAGAGAGAGCAGATTTAGATTAGATATTAAGAAAAAAATTCTTTTCTGTGAGGGTAGCAAGGCACTGGAACAGATTGCCCAGAGAAGCTGTGGATGCTGCATCTCTAGCAGTGATCCAGGCCAGGTTGGATGGATTTCTGAGCAACCTGCTCTAGTGGAAAGTGTCCCTGTCCAGGGCAGAGAGGTTGGAATGAGGTAGTCTGTAAGGCCCCTTCCAAGACAAATCATTCCATGATTCCATGACTCTATGAATTCCATCAAAGATAGAGTAGTATGAGTAATGAAAATGATACGTAGTTTTCAGGAAATTTTGGATTTCTCTGCTGAATTTTCTCTTCAGCAGCTGATCTCTCTCACATGTTCTATTTCACAGTAGTGAGCTGTGTGTTTTTAAAGGAGTCAATAAACAGTTTTACTGATAACTGTTTACTCTGAACTTGTCTTTTTAAATTCGTTTGTTTAGATGTGTGTGTACTTGACTCTGCATACACAAAATCTAACAGAGAGACAAGAACATAATCTTGTCTTTATTAATACACCCTGTATGTTTTGCTTGTCTTGCTAAAAACATGTTTAATATTAATATGTTTACATCATTCAGACCACCAAAATGTCTGAATGTATTATTTTAAGGTTTGCTTGTTATAAAGTCTGTAATTAGTTTATTACAGACTATTATGTCTTTTTTTCTGGCTGCATGCCTCTAAAAGCATCATATTCTGAAGGCTGAAAAATTGTGTTGTATGTTTTCATAGCATTCTTCTCTCCTCTAGATGGCCATATTAATCTTTCTTTTCAGCATATTTGTATCGAACTCACATGGCATTTTGTGTAATGTTTTTAATACTGAAATGAAGAAAGCTATATGCTCTGCAGGCTTTGTTGTGTATTTTCATGATGGAATGTTCTAGTAGCACTTTTGGTAATTCTCTGCAATTCAGGACTTTAAATTTCATTTACAAATACCTGCTTTTGGCCAGCATCTGACATAATTGATATATTTGTATTGCACATTTGATGCATTTAGATTTTTACATGTTTTACATATAGATACACAAAATGAAAAATAAATTACTACTGTGCTTGGATGCAAGTATCTCTATAGACTGTAAGCCATTGTAAATAAAAAACTTTTGCAGTGAACTCCTCATGGACAGGCTTAATTCCAGAGTATCACTAAAGGAAAACCTAATTCAATGCAAAATCAAGTTGATGAGAAATGTCAACATTAAAAGCAAAATGGTACAGATGTTTACATCTGAAATTTTCAACTCTTGCACAAAAGACCAAAAGTTTTTAATCTAAGAAAAGAGAAACCTGTGTGACTACAGGATGTGTGGCTCAGTCTCTGTGCTTAGGTCCAAAGTTCCAGGGTCAGCTTGAAATTTGAAATCTTAATTTTGCCAATAATGTTATTTTTCTATTTTCTAATATTATCCAGTAAAGTATGGATACTTGCTGGAGTGACCTCTTTTTCCTGTTTTCCTGACAAAACTTCCTTTTAGGTTTTTATAATGTGTATCCTACTTATATTATTTCCTACCATTTCAGTGTTGAATATGTAGTATTGTCTTTATGTGCTCCAACTATTTGTAATATTTTGGGAGAGGGGATTAATATAGACTGTAATATTTGCACATTTATTTCAGAAAATAAAGAATAAAAAATAAGGGGGGGGGAAGCAAGGAAAAACAACTCCATAAGATATTTCTGCTAACAAACAGTTTATGAGTTGAAATAGGAAACTAAGGGATAAGGAAGTGTAAAAATTTTATATTTAAAATTGGCATTAAAATTGGCAATCTTTGTATTTCATGAAAGAAATATTTTTTAGTGTCTATATTGAGATTTTAAATGGACCA